GGACTCGATGATCTTAGAGGTCTTTTCCAACCTCAATGATTCTATGATTCTATACGTCTGAAAAATGGTCTGCGCTAGTGTAATCCCTACATCTATTTCCATTTATATGCAAACCAAATAATGTATTCGGCAACAGTGGAGAGTCACCTGCAGTCATTTTCCTTGAGGAAGTACCACACACCTTTCATAATACTGTCACTACTCAACTCCTAGGTTCTTTTTGCAAGACAGTGAGATTACCATTGGCAGGAATAGGGAGCTAGCTACAACATCTACATGAATAATATTATAGAGTAAAGAGATTTCTTCTCTTTGCTTCAAGCAATCATCCAAATAGATTCCAGTGTGGGCCATGAACAAACAGTACCTTCAATAGGTTGGAAGTTTCACAGAAGGACTGTACAAGCATCAAACAGAAGAGGAACAAAGCATGCTTTGAAAAAAGTGCACGTTAACAGAGCTCTAAGAACAAACTTCTATCACTCTGCAATTCCAGCTATGGAATATAAGATACAGTATTGTATTGCTCTGTTATAATATTATACACTAGGATTATAATAATACACTAACAGAAGCCTACGTTGGGTTGCTCAGTTAAAGGGCCTATTTCCACACACTGCAAGAGTGATTGAGTATAATTAAAAGCCTTCTACTTTGCCAAAGATGATTCTGCTCTTTCAGCAAGTGGTCTCCCTGCCAGGACCACTATCAAAGCTATGATAGCATGGGTCTGGGTACACTACCCAAACAGAATTTCAGGACATCGATTCAGGATCATCTGTCTGAAATGTCCATCAGCTCAAAAGTTTCAGAACAGTACATGTGTACTCTATTGATGTCTTATCAACCTGGGAAAACAGTATGATAGGCACCGAACAGCTGCAAGACAAGCAGTCCTTTACCACAGCAGAATTAAATAAATTAATCTAAAACCAAATCAAAGATGAAGTTCCAAAAGATGGGAAAAGCTGACAGTACAGGCATTCCATTGTATGCTATATGTTTAAATGTGCCTTCAAAAAGTAATTACCTTTAGTTTCTTCTACAGCCAGTTTATCACAGATCTGCTTTTCATAGGTACAAAGATGCTCCAAGGCTTCTTTATATAATCCTGCCTCCCGGAGGACTTGATTTTGATACAGCAGCAGTTCGCTGTACTCATAGTCCACTTTATCGGGTGATGTCTACATAGGAAAGCAAGACACATGAGAAAGTTCAGACTTCTAGAATGCATTTGGGATTTAATTCATTTGACTAAAGAAAACTGCATAAAGTTTTCACATCATGAAAGGAAGCAGTGTTTTATTTTTGGTTTAAGCAGCAATCCATACAGGAATTTCATGTTTTCCTCTTACCTGCTGTGTCTTCCTAAATTCCTCTAAAATTTTTGCTGCCATTTCATAGTCTTCCAGCAGATGGTAAGCAATAGCATAACCAATCCATGATGCTCGCTGTGCAGGTCGGAGCTGAAGCAACTGATACCTTGTTTCCTGCAAAAAAGTAGCTACTAATTTTCCTGACTTTATTCTGATGCTCTGTAGAATCCATTATGCAATACTCTTGTCTTCAGTATTCCAATATTTAAGGAATGTCACTAAAAATTAGTTTTCTATATGCAAATGTATTTTTTTTTTAACCAAAATAAAGAATAAACTTTAAAACACTACAATGGTCTTGACTGAATAAAAAAAAAACCACACAAGGTAACACATCATGTTAGTCCAACTGAATACTGATGAGTCAGACTAACTTTGTTAATGTATGACACACGTGCTTTTCCTGTCTTACCACTGATGAACAGAACACGGTTAAGGATACTTTGGTTTGAGTTGCAGGAACATTTACTATATACTGGTGTTTTAAATTCACCTTGGAAGTACATATGTATTAAATCATTACAAGTGTTATTAGCCAAATAGGTCATGCAAGTGCATTCCTATTCTTTAGTGAGAAGATAATTACAGCTGGAAGATGCAACAGATTTGCTTGGTACCATGCTGTTTTAATCTGAGGGAAAAGTTATTACTTGTTTTGTTACAGACTCCTGAAGGGCATCTTCAAGTAATTTAAAATAAAGGAAAAAAGTTACTACTGACTGAAAAAGCCCAGTCAGAAGTAGGAGTTAACAAAGAACTAAAACTAGTTACAGTCGTTTGATTAGAATGAAGATCACTCAAAATATTATAAAGTAGGAGAGGGTGGAAGTTAAAGCGAAGGGAGAAAAAAAAAACCAACCCACAACCTTATTCCCAGTTTTGAGAGTAAATTCACATTCTTCAGAAACTAGCATATGATCAGTCATGAATTACTGGCTTCTAAGCATGTTAACATTTAATCCTTAATGCATTCTGTAACCATGTGTTACTTGCACATTTAGCAGTCATGCATTTGTATTCACATTTATCCAGAGGCCAAGAGAACATACATTTGCAAATGAATTTTGGCACCTATGCTAAGTTTTGGCTATCTTGTCTCAGCAAGAGAGGAGTCAAATTTCTAAATTACTAATATGAAAAAAACAGTGACTAAGAAATGTCCTAACTCAGGAATAAGTTCACTGAGGACTTATGTTAGCTTATGGTTCCACACGGCTCTGAGAACAAAACTTGTTCTTGGCATACTAACATTACCCTAATTTGAAAAGGAAATAATCTGTGAAGGGACCAACTAATGTGATGTAACAACCACAACTTCAAAGGTGCAAGGAAAACCTGAAAAGATGAAAACCTGACATAAAATATTATCCAAGGTCTCCAAGTAAAAGTCTCAAAGATTATTTTTTTGCAGAGAAAAGGAATTACACCAATCTACATCAGCTGAAAACCAGGTAAGTTTCCAGGCACAAAAATGTAATTTAGGAGGACCTAAGGGTTTTTTTTCCAATTAATTAATATTTGAATTATAAATACTTAGGGTGACCATTGTCATCTTTCCCTGGATAGCAGAGTAAGAAACAAACAGATCTTCTATAGTCATTGTTCTGTCCAATCCTAAGTGAGCCATACATTGATCATGGGCAGCCATCATGACTTAGCCTGAACCACATAAACATCTCTGCAATATGCGTACTAAACAGAAGCTGCTACTTTTTAAGAAATAAAGGTATTAGCAAGCTAGACATCAGCTCGCAATTCAAGAAGACAGAAAAAAAATCTAACTACATTAGGAGTAGCATTTGTAGAGAGGACAATAGAGAGTTTGTATTCTCCTTTACAGAAGTGTCACAGCCGTGACACTACCACCTCGTAATGGTTGGTTAGCATGAAACATCTCACGTGGCAAATACAGACAACTGATGCAAGGCAGTCAGTAACTGGGTGCTGCAGTAACAGGCAGAAAGAGGGTTCCAATCTAAGTTACCAAACTGCATTCAGCTTTACTACAAAATAAACAAAAGAAAACAAGATAGTAATCTAAACATTTTGAGTATTAAATCAAGAAAGAGGAGGAATATTCAGGAGTTCTGATCCACAATCTCACAGCTCACAGGAAATGTAAGGAAATATTTGGACCCAAAGGAGCTGTCACTAATGCCCAGGTTGGCTGGGAAGCAAAATACGATGTTTCATGCAGCACACTGCTTGCTTTGTATTGTTACCCACTGCTGAGAGAAAACTGGTGGCCGCTGATTTAAAGGACAAGGTATATATGGTATGAAGTTATTAAAAAATAGAAACTCTTTTGCCTGAATAACAGCCGTCTTCTGAACACACTGCCTTTTACCTGCAGGAATGCTTCCAAGAACATAATAAAAAGACTGGGGATTGTCTACAGCTGGATTATACAGCATCAAAAAAACCCTAAACAATTCTGCACTGAGCTGAAAAAAAATCATTTAGTATGCCATTAAATCTGTATACTTTATAGAAATTGCTCAGTAGCATGTCTGCTTTTACTTTCATAAAATATTGAGTAGCACATAGTTTTAACACTCTGGATCTAACTTTTTTTTTTTAAAAGTGTCATTAAACAATTTGCCACCTTTGCTGCAGTTCCCTAGAAGTTGATAATAAATGCAGTATATATACCTACCCTGTAACCTTCAAGATCCCTCATTTGAATCTGTAGCAGAGAAAGATCTCTCAAGATTTGAAGATTGTCTTTGTCCCATTTCAGTGCATTCCTATAGCATTTGATAGCTTCATCATACTTCTTGTCTGACCTCTGAAGAAGGCCATAGACATGCCAACCTGGAAAACTCTTGTTAAGGATTCTACTGAATTTGAGCAGGGAGAAAACAGATCCAACATGGCATTGACAGAACAGTTGGTAAAAAAAATTCTTAAGCCATTTTATAAACGGACAGTAACGTTATTATAATCATTACAATTCTTTTCTTCAGCTGTACAGAGAAACTGCTTGCAAACTGAAGACAGAGAACTGTTTGTCAGTTATATGTATAGGGTGCACGTAACATGTTGTAAACTGTACTTTTCACATACTGGGGGAGGAAATCAAGTAATAGGATCTCTGAAAAAACTATCAGGCTTACTCAAACACATTTCTGAGTAAGGGCTTACATTAGACAACTGGAGTGCTTGCACTTCCTGCATTCTAAGTCTATCACAAGTCCTTATCAATGTAATGGCAACTACTAAGTTTTTAAAGCAAACCACATGCTTAAATGCCTAGTTCAGCCCACCACAAGTTTAAAGTTGCAGCTAAATGATAAAAAAAAAACATATACAATGCAAGCCAGAATAATATTTGAGCTAACTGTGACTGCAAGGATAGCTGCAAAGCATCTGCCCTTTGGATAGCTTAGACAAAATATTCTTACGTATTGGAAACAAAATTTAAAATTCTGAACTTCCATTTTGAAGCCTAATGGTACTGGCTTTTGTTGCAATTCTATAAATCAAGTAGTTGTAGAAATAAACCTTCGCCATTCATAAGCAAAAACCCTATTTCAAAAAGGATACAGACATGACTCTTCAAGTCATTCCTTAGGCCTCTACGCACAAGTTCATAAGCTTCTTCTTTCTTCCCTAGACAGTTTAATGTTAGTCCTTTCATTGCCAAGGTTTCTAAAACAAAACAAAAAAAAATTAAGATTAAATAAGTATCAGTTATTCATTTTCATAGGGTTTTCAAGCTTAATACAAATTTAGACTCAGTTAGCAATGCAAAGATTTTGCATTCTTTTTTCACATGGAAAACTATACTGGCAGATTATTCACTTAAGTACATCATACACGACAATAAACTTTATGCATTACTTCCACCAAAAAGTGAAGCAGCGTTTTATTTTAAAGGCACTAAAAACTGTCTGCTCTACAAACATTTTGGAGAGAGATATTTCTTTACCATAAAGGAGCATTATAACTACTCAAGTATTTATTCACAACACAGACTTCCACACATCCACCCATACCAAACTAGTTGGCAAAGAAAAAAACCATTTCTGGACAGTGGAAAGAAACTCTCAACTCAGTAGTAAGAAACGATTGAAAATACAGCAAGGGACACAAGCACCTTTTTCTTCTTTTACAATAAGACTATTCCTTTGGAAAAAGTAGCAGACCACAAAGCTGACAGACATAGTGCTGAACAATAGTCAATCTCTTCCTTTTGTCTTTCACTTCTACATGAATGAATAACAATTTCCCCTGAAAAGTGACTTAAGCAATGCATACTTGTATTAAGAAACTTGCACCATGCTATAATGAATATTAGACTTGCAGCATAAAGAATGGCAAGCTATGACTACTAACTACAGGTAAGACCAGTCTTTAAAATTACAAACCTTATCAACAATAGATGTTTAACATGGTGCAGGTTTCTGGACACTAACTGCTTTATAGGCAAAAGGTTAACAATTAAGTGCTATAAATATTTATAAAACTTACAAATGATTACTCTATCCCAAAGTATAGGGAAAAAAGAGAGCATATGCCATTTGAAAACTTACCTCCATGTTCTGCAAACTTTGGGTTAGAAAGGATCTGTTTACAGAACTTCAGCCCATTTCTATACTGCTTATGTTCGTAACACCTCTGTTGAAGAAGAACAGAGTACATTTATTCAAAAAATTTAGAGTGAAAGTATTTCTGCACCCCCAAAATTAAGCATCAGTGCAGCTAGGGCTTTTAGAAAATGTACTAATATTTTAATGAACTGTGTTTAATGAGCTTCCTGTGATTAAAAATTCTTTCCATCACCAGAAAAAATAGTATATGTTAGTAAGAGCACGAATTTAAATGTATAACTGAAGACACATTATCATACAGCAATTTCTCAGATAAGATACAACATGAAGCATAAATGCCTACAGAGATTCAACTTTCCTTTAACATAAAAGCAAACCTTATGTCATAACATATCTTGGTAAGCATTCAACTCACTTTGGCTCAATTATCTTTCACAAAACACCACGAGACAACCTCCAATAACCACACAGGCAGGAAAGAAAATTAAATCATTGGAACTCGACTTAAACTATCTCTGAAAGCAATCTCTTACAATCAGTTTGAATACTACATATATCTCACACATACAAACTTTCAAAACTAGTATACACTAACACTGTCTTGCCATACTGGAAATTAAAATATCCCTTTACAGTTTTATTAAATCCAACTCCAACAATTTGCGCGTGTCTGAGTCTCATTTCATTATGCAATGCGACTGCAATGCAAAATGGCACACAGCATGAACTTTTAAAACCAGTTTTAGTATTTTACTTCTGTCAATCCACTCCCTTTGTTAATCTTTAAATAGAAGCCAAAGGAGGAAGAAGTAACATTGTAAACACCAATTCATACACTTTAAGTCACTTAAGCAAATGCTAATAATTTCTTAGGTTTCATTTTACTGTAATACCAATGCCCCGACTTGAGTATAAGAGTAAAGAAACACACATTGCTTATGCACAGACCCAAATCCTATGGTAACTAGGAAGTCATTCATAACAGGATCTCACTGACTCCAGTTGACCTGTTCTGGTGGCAGGATGGCTGACAGGAGTGTAAAACTGGGTAACAGCCAACAGTTTTGAAGTCATCCTAATTAAGTTTTGTTCAGGATTCTGCCTTTCCTCCATCTGCTCCAAATTAACTACGCAAGAGCATTCATAAGCACGCATGGACACCATTTGTCCTCTAAGCACTCTCATCAAAAAAAGTTAGGAGAGGCAGACCCCACAGGTCTTCCATCAAGCAGAAAGTTCTAAAAATAAAACTTTAAAAAGTTACATGAATATTATGGAAATGCTTAAAAAAGAAAATGGTGTATCTACCTCAACTTCTCTGCTTTACGTTACTTTTGCATCATGAAAGGTGCTGTTCAGTGCCCAGTTTTCTCTTCCAAAACACAGATGGAAACACCAACAAACTTCAAAGGCATAAAAACCTGGTATACCACTAAGTGGATGTATTATTTTCTAGGTACTAAAGTCATACAGCTGAAATATCAAGGCTGAAGAGCAAGAGGCATCACAAACCAATGAAAGAATTTGTTCCCCCTATCCTGTTGCCACCCTTTGGAGAAAGGGAATCTGGGAAAGGAAAGAGGAGGAGGAGGAGAAGGAAGATGCTCAGAGAGAGCATCCAAAGCAAGATGGACTCAAAGAGGAATGTATCAACAAAAGAATGATAGAATGGAAGATAGATTGGAAGGGACCATCAAAGATCATCTAGTACAATGCCCCTCCCATGGGCAGGGACATCTTTCACTACATCAGGTTGCTCAAAGCCCTGTCCAACCCTGACTTTAAACACTTCCAAAAGACAACTCCCTCTATCACAAAGGACAGGACAAGTTAGCAGGGCAACCACCTAACATAGGAAGATTAAGGGTTAGGTAAGAGGAAATCTGTATAGGCGTCTTTTTTTTATTAAACTTGACTGGTTATTATTTACACCTTTTAGTCATTACCTGCTTTCAAGTAGCTGGCTGAGTCACTTTAATCAGCCACTGGTCAGAGCTGACAGAGAGCTTACAGGTGACAACACAACAGGATCAAGCTTTTTTTTTTTTTTAAAAAATGAAATCATCAGTCATAAAAGTTACCGCCCAGGCCTCCTCCCTGAAAGCAGAACCACCATTTGCTCCCACCTAGGTAGGTGTGAAAGCAGCAAAACCTGTCACAAAAGCGGTGCAGCCACAGGAACTTAAGAACACGTCTCCAGTGTAACTAAGGCACTGTCACAAGCAGAAGGGGTACTTTGGGGTTTCACAATTTGCCTTTAAGTACAGCTGCTCAGATGCTGGCTATGAACATGAAATCTTATCTCTAAACAGTTCCATTTTACATACTCTAACAACCAGTCTTTCACCTTGAAGTTTAAGGAAAGTCAGCCAAGATGGTATATATGCTAGAGACAGGAAATATTTGCACATAGATTTTTCTCAGAGTAATGCAGAACTTACGATGCAAGGTACTTCATAACAGACTAAACTCACTGAGAACTGTAACAAATTCTCCCTTCAGGCTGCAGGGAGGAAAAATTTGCAGGTTTATATCCACTTACAGCTACAGAAAGGTTCCCATCAACCCAGAGAACACCAGGTAGGACCAATAAATTATCAGGAACTGATCATGTACTTGTATCACCTGAAGTACCAAATTAAGAACCAGCCATAGCTGCGTATAACCCCCAGTAAAGTACGATAGGTCTCCATTTTGAGGCGTTTCTAGATCAAGACAAGTTTGAGTGATTTGCTGTATACAATTTCTCCAACCTTTCATGTTAATACTTCAAGCCTATTTCATCCTGTTAATGGAAACATTTCAAGTTGTGTCATTTTATGAGTTTCCTTATTCTATATATGTATTCTATGTACACATTATATGTTTTCAACAGTGGAAGGAAGGGAACAAATGAAATGGAGGTCACGTTTCGTCCTTCTTCAGAAAAGAAGAGATTGTTTCATCAAAGTGGGTCCAACAGCATCACTGAGATTCCACTACTTGAAGCCATGTGTATACTTATCTCCTTCTCCGAAGAGGTTACAGACTAACAAGCTTAAATAAAGGTGTGAACGAGAGAGGAGGAAGTCAGGAATGCAGCATATGCCACCATGGCTAGTACAAACCTTGGTGAATCTGAAGCTTCAAGGAACAGAAACATAAAAGAAAAATCTTTTAAGAAAAAGGAGGCAGTAAATATTGAAAAGGGGAAAGGAAGAACAAAAAGAATAACACAAGGGAAGATGAGCATGAGTAATACACAGCCTGGGAGAGAAAATCCTTAAGGGAGTCAGTAGTTTCTGAGTAAGAAGAGGAAGAAGAACCAGTAATAATAATTAAAAAAAAAAAAATCACAGAAGCAGGAATGGTGACAACTTAAGTATTCTTGGGACATAAAGATACAGGCTTGCTGGAAGCAGAACTGGTCTTCATCTGGGCAGTTTGTTTCCTCCCAGATGAATAGTTGTAGTAGTCATTCCCAGGCCTCTGACCCTTACTTTGGGACAGCTGTTCTGCAGAGGTAACATACTTCTCTGTTCCAGAGACCGCCAGAAGAGCACAGTTGCCTCCTCTAAGCTAAACTCCTGCACATATACACTGCCAAAGCCAGCAGTCAGAGCCTGCTTGTGATGCTTGACAGAGAAGTGCTCCAGCTATGGCTGGTGACATCATGCAATGAGAAAACCTAAAAGCTAAACTTCTAAAAAGTAAGGTTAAGGCCAATGCTTTAAATGAAAAGCATCTGACTCTCCATCAGCACTGAATCTCTATTATACGTTTGCTGCCCTTCAAAGCTTTTCCTTTAATAAGTTACCAGATGTTTTAAGATATCTAACAAGCTTTTCTATACATGCTGTGGCCAGAATTACAGCCTACTCCAAACACACCAAGATTCTTTCTACACCCTTTAAGGTTAAGGCCAATGCTTTAAATGAAAAGCATCTGACTCTCCATCAGCACTGAATCTCTATTATACGTTTGCTGCCCTTCAAAGCTTTTCCTTTAATAAGTTACCAGATGTTTTAAGATATCTAACAAGCTTTTCTATACATGCTGTGGCCAGAATTACAGCCTACTCCAAACACACCAAGATTCTTTCTACACCCTTTAACTAATTTTCTGTATTTAGAGAAAGGAAATAGAACCTGCTTTAATACAATTCTACAAAGAATTAATAAGATGAGGCAGACAGAGTATGACTTCTTCAAAATCATGCAAGACCATAGCAGGTAGGAGAGAATTTGCATTTGCACCCCCCCCCCCCCCCCAAGTATTTATTAAGTAGATTTGAATGCATGGCGATTACCAGAGACTGACAGTGAAATCATAAGGAACAGAGCTAGCCCATATTCTCTAGAATCCCGAGTCTGAGGTGGAAGGAGGGTTCATGTTCCGGTGTTCGGATCCCTAAGCTGTATTAGGGCACCCGTGCAGAATCAGTCTTTGGCCAGCAGGTGTTTTACACATACACATGCTCAGCATGCCAAGTGTGAACGAATTCTTCTGCATTTCTTCCTTGATGGCTGCCATAAAGACAGGTGAAAAGACGTCACTATTTACAGCTTACCTACATCCAGACAGCTAACTGCCAGATGGCGTTTGTTTCCCCCTTGCCCCAGTTTTCCAGTTTTGAATCTTCCCTATCTAGTGCATCTACTTTCTAAACCTTGTTATCAAACCTACAGCTAGCAAATAAGACTGACTTGGATTCTTAACTACTCCCGGTTACCCACAAGGCTATATACAAGGGCCATGCTACTGATTATAGTTGCACTCTTAAGGGCTGCTGACAATAGCACAGAGATTACTTTTATCCAAACTTAATCCAGCTTTGTTTTCTTTATATATTGTATAAACAAAAACATTTTCACAAATGCATTTTAGAAATTTTACAGCTGTAAGTTTGAAGTGTGGAGAAGTAGGCTCTCTAGTTGTTTGCTACCTGTAAGCAGGCAGGCCATTTTACCTCTGACATACTCCTTCCCTCTCAAAATACACATTTTAATGGTCAAGTACATATGTTTCCAACTAAAAAGCAAGGATAATAGTCAAGTGCAGCATTTTGACATGCAGGTATGTATCTCAGCATCAAACACACAGCACATGGCA